GGAGAGTCACAAGGTTTAACAGCTTCATCAAAAAAAGCCAGAGCCACCGAAACCGGTTTGGCTCAGTGGATAGAGCGTCGGCCTGCGGACTGAAAGGTCCCAGGTTTGATTCCGGTCAAGGGCATGTACCTGGGTGTAGGGGGTGTGCAGGAGGCAGCTGATGAATGTTTCTCTCTCATTGATGTTTCAAACTCTCTATCTTTCTCCCTTCCTCTCTGCAAAAAAAAAAAATCAATAAAAATATATTTAAAAAAAAAAAAAAAAGCTAGAGCCCTGGCTGGGTAGCTCAGTTGGTTAGAGCATCATCCCAATATGCCGAGGTTGCGAGTTCAATCCCTGGTCAGAGCACATATAAGAAATCAGCCCCCCTAGCTGGTTTGGCTCAGTGGATAGAGCGTTGGCCTGTGGATGGAAGGGTCCCGGGTTCGATTCCGGTCAAGGGCACATGCCTGGGTTGTGGGCTCGGTCCCCAGTGTGGGGCAGGAGGTAGCCGATCCATGATTCTCTCTCATCATTGATGTTTCTCTCTCTTTCCCTTTCCCTTCCTCTCTGAAATCAATAAAAATACATTAAAAAAAAAGTCAACCAATGAGTGTATCAGTAAGTGAAACAACAAATCGATGTTTCTCTCTCTCCCTTCCTCTCTAAAATTAAATTTTTTAAAAAATATATTTTTATCGATTTCAGAGAAGGGAGAGGGAGAGAAAGATAGAAACATCAATGATGAGAGAGAATCATTGATTAGCTGCCTCATACACACCCCACACTGGGGATCGAGTCTGCAACTGGGCATATGCCCTGACCGTATGCTAGCTGGGCTAAAATTAATTTTTTTAATAAGGTGGAAGGTATCAGCCAACTAACATATCTCCATTTCTCATGCCACCTTCCATTGGAAATCAAGTGAGTTCTTCTAGTAATAAAAATATAACAACTACCAATTATCCAGCATTTACCGTATCAGGCACTGTGTTTAGTGGTTTACATACTTTATCACATTGAATTCTAGAAGTAGGTACTATAATTAACCCTACTCTAAAATGTCAAAAATAGCCCTAGCCGGTGTGGCTCAGTGGCTAGAGCATCGGCCTGAGGACTGAAGGGTCCTGGATTCAATTCTGGTTCAGGGCACATGCCTGGGTTCTGGGTTCAATTCCCAGGTAGCCAATCAACGATTCTCTCTCATCATTGATGATTCTACCTCTCTCTCCCTCTCCCTTCCTCTCTCTGAAATCAACAAAAAATAAATAAAATAAAACAACAACAACAAACACTATCCTTTAAAAAAAATAAAATGTCAAAAGTAAGGCCTGGGGAATTTAAACAATTTTTGAAGATCACAGAGGGGATTATGTTGTGAATTTGAACCTAAGTCTGTCTACCAGTCCATGCTCTTAGCTACTGGACTACTATCTCCATGTGAGGAACTGGAGGCAGGGAAAAAGGAAGTGGCACAAGAGGAAAACCCAGGGGTGAGGTGGGAGGTAAATCAGGTCTCTCATAAGGGCCCAGTCTGGGGAGCTCCTGGCTCAAGTCTGAGTGGTGGGGTGGGGAGATCAAGGGCGCTAGGTCGGAAATCTCCTCCAGGGCAACACCAGGCGGCTACGAACTCTTTTCTTTTGTCATATTCTCTTCTCTTGGCTTCTGAAACACTGACCTTTTCTGAGACTCCTCCTACTTTACAGATTATTCCTTCATAGTATTCCTTGTGAGTTCATTTTCCTCTGCCCATTCCTTAAATGTATCCTCTGAAGTTCTGTCTTTAGCCACCCTCCCCTCTTATTTCTTACTAAAGGCCTGGTGCATAAAATTCGTGCACTCAGTCCGGGAGCCCTCGAGGGATGTCTTACATCCTTAGTGCTGCTGGAGGTGGAGAGGCTGCCGCCACAACTGCGCTCACCAGCCATGAGCCCAGCTTCTGGCTGAGCAGTGCGCTCCCTGTGGGAGCACACTGACCACCTGGGGGCAGCTCCTGCATTGAGCGTCTGCCCACTGGTGGTCAGTGTGCGTCATAGCGACCAGTTGTTCAGCTGTTTGGTCGATTTGCATATTAGCCTTTTATTGTATAGGATACATTACACACATTCATTCTTAACCATTCTAAGGGTTTCATCCACCCTCTATATCCTAATGGCTCCAGGTATCTAATTTTGATAAACTAAAATGGACTTCTTCCTCTAGTAACCCTCTGTAATCACGGGAGGTTCCTTAGTACTTATCTATGTGCATATTTGCCTCCCTCTATTAGACTAGAAGGGCATGCCCAGGGTTTTTATCTCTCTCGCTCTCTTTCTTGTATCCAGGACAATAGCTGGTAGACAACAGGAGCTCCATAAAGGTTTAATAAATGACTAAAAGTAGACACATATACTCAGCATTTATATTTCAAATTACCTGGTTTTCTTTTACAGAAAGTCGGGGGGGTAACGTCAGGTGAAGAATTTCATTTTTTTTCAACTTTTCATAGCCAGCAACAAAAACTCCTGGAAAAAAGAAGCAGAAGTAGCTGTGACAAACTGCTAGAAAGACTGTGGACCATGGCTGGCTCTAGAAACTCCACCAAACCCATTAATACTCAGCCTTGTACTGGGGGATGGAAGAGATCTAGAACTCATTAAGCGCTGATGGAGCACAAAATTGCCACAAGTGAGCAAGGGGCCCTCAGAAGAGTGGGCTGGGTCCCTCTGGGCTGAGCTCTGGAGTCCCAGCCTGAGTGAGATTCCATCTCCTCACCTTTGTCACCAATCCATTCAAGGACACGAGTGGCTCCTGGGAGATCGAATGCATGGAAATCCTGGTACCTGCAGGAGAGGGACACAATGTCACACGGTGCCTAGCACTTGGCAGCTGTTCAAAGAACTCTGAGAGGCATCACGGTTTGGTGGCTGGAGGCCCAGGCTCTGGAGTCAGGCAAACCTGGAATCAAGTCTTGTTACACATTCTGCTCCCTGTGTGACCGGAACCAGGCCAGTCACAATAACCCTGAGCCCCCGGCCTCATCTGTAACACGGACCTCCCAGAGAACCCAGCCTTCGCCGGGTTGATGTGAAGAATCCATGAGACAGCCTAGCCCGTGGTCGGCAAACCGCTGCTCGTGAGCCACATGCGGCTCTTTGGCCCCTTGAGTGTGGCTCTTCCACAAAATACCACATGTGGGCCTGCCCGTACAGTGCGATTGAAACTTGGTGGCCCATGCGCAGAAGTCGGTTTTCGGCATGGGCGAGTCTATTTTGAAGAAGTACTGTTGATATTTGGCTCTGTTGACTAATGAGTTTGCTGACCACTGGTGCCGGTTTTGCTCAGTGGACAGAACGTGGACATGCGGATTGAAGGGTCCTGGGTTCCATTCTGGTCAAGGGCACATGCCCAGGTTGTGGGCTGATGATCCCCAGTAGGGGGCATGCAGAAGGCAGCTGATCAATGATTCTCTCTCATCATTGGTTTTTCCATTCTCTCCCTCTCCCTCTGCCTTCCTCTCTGAAATCAATAAAAAAAAATATTAAAAAAGAATCCGAGACAATTAATCTGGGGTTCAATTCAGAGGCTGGTGCAAAATAACTGGTCACTAATTACCCTGCACAACTCTGCTCTTACTAGTGCCTCACACAACTTGCGCCCGCAGGGTTGTGCCATCTCCCAGAAGCGGGATCCGAGGCCCAGACGGAGTCCTCGTGCGGTCCCGCCCCGTCCGCGGGCATCACCCGCCCGACCTGGATTC